GTCGAGACAGGGCTTCTCAACCAATGCAAATTTAGCTGGGTGTGTGATTGGAGTTGATAAAATTGACTTCATCAAGACATTTCTGTACCTTTCACCAAACGCAACCAGCACACAATCAGCAAAGTGAAAGTTGGGGCTTTAACAAACTTATATTCCATAGACATTACAATAATTTTTATACTGCATTAAGCAACTTGCGATCCACATTGAACATAAAATAAATCTTAAGCTAGAAATAAGGTTTAACGCAACACGGGCCTCTTTATCAATTATAGTATTTCTGTCCCAGATTTTTCTGACTTATCTAAAATGCTGAAGGTCTTGGAAAACACTCTTTGAAATAGTAGTTATGTACTGTACCATAAAATAAAGTCAAGGTTATCGGGCACATTACAGAAGATGGTTTCATTTTTCAAACAATCAAAGCGCCATGCATAAATTACAATGTGAAGATAAAATTATTTCAAACTACAATTCTGGTTAAAAACACCAAAACCTGACTTATAAACCTCCAAATTATTTGAATATCTAGTGATTTATTATACCTTTTGAATTCCCCCTTCCTTTCTTGTATTAAAATAGGTTTGCAAGAATTTTGTCAAAATGCAACCGTTAAACTGCTACCAGGGGAATAAGGTGGCTGTGCTGGAGACCAAACGCTGGGGGAAATTTCCATTAAACCTTATACTTCCCTGTTTCTCTGTGATGTTAAACAGATGCAGGACAAGCAGATGTAATGTGCTAGATATTGTAGCTAACAGCTGAGCTAGTATGAAAAACACACATTGCCTGCAAGCCGAGCTGCAGTATTTGGACATTTTGAAATATTATCAAAATGAATAATTTCAATAAAAACAGCACTGCCTTTGCCTGGCATTTAGGAAAATGAAATGTTAGAAACAGTAGCAAAAACTAAAAGCTTTAATTTCCAATTTTACTTGAGAAAGTAAAATTATCTCCATGATATAAACACTAAAGTTGCTACATTCACTTTAACCTAATTAGCTCTGAAATGAGACATTCGAACAGCACTACAGTGATACTTTACCTATCACTCATTTGTAGTTTTCCTAATATCTCTCCTGAGATAATCCCTCATCGATTGTTTTGCACAAGATTATTCCAACCAGAAAGAGCAATATGGGCTCTGATAAACCTATTGCCTTTGAACACTACATGTGTAAAGCAAGCATAAGGAAAAACACACCATCAATGGACATGGTAACAAGCAGCAGCTGGGAGTACACTTTTAAATACATTAACACGTGAATATAATTTATATTCACGTACTCTATCTCATGTTAGTCCACTCCTAACAAACACACTTTCACACTTATGTCTGGAATGCACCTCCAAGTGTTATTGTAATTAGAGAGAGGCTGAGAACAGAAAAAATTAGACCTATTTGTATTTTTCTGAAATTATCTGTGAATATTTAAGAGTCTAGCAAGACACAGCTTAAGTATGGAAAAGATTAAATGTATTAGTTTATTCGACATTTGCAAGTACACAGTATATATATGTACATTACCTAACTCTCATTTAGATAGCCTAAGGGGAATTCATCAGTGGAGTTCATGGAACTCCACTTAAAACCAACAAGAGGAGACAGTTCTTTGCACAAATGGTTGTGGGAGTGTGGAACAAGCTAGCCAGCAATATTGTTGAAGACCCATAGCTTGGCTTCTTTCAAAAAATGACTGGATTAGATCCTCTAATCAAGTAACTATCAGCTACCAAATGACTAGTTAGACTCAATAGTCTCCTCTCGTTCGTAACTATTCTTATGCGATATTCTTAGCTGGTTAGAAACTGTTCTTTTGAACTGATCTTGAATTTTGAGGACCTAACCTGTTGCTGCTGGAAGAGATGTGTAAAATGTAATTTGGAGTATGTGAAATCACAACTGAGTTAGACTTGAATATCTTAATTAACTGAGCACACCCAAAAAGGCAGCAGTTAACATTAAACTTTAAAGTAAACCTTCAAACTACTAGCAAACTGAGGGCTTGTTCTAAGGGCAAAATTGGGATCAAAGGTAGCTTCAGCCTTGGTGGGAAACTGGATGAAGGCTGACACAGAAGCAGTACAGACAGGCCCCAGAATCCCCTTCACTCCCCATTGATTGTGAAACAACTATGACAATAGCTCACGACCAAAAAACAAAGCCGTTCATTTATCTGGTAATGCACTTATTATTAGAATAACTGATGAAATGTAAACCTGGTGACCCTTCTACACTTATGACCTATTATATACTAATAGCAATTTGTTCATATTGTCCGGGTTTGGATGCCTTCTGGTAATGATGGTAGGTTTAATAAATGACCTCCTGTCCTCAGTATTAGCAAGACATAGCTTACTGACAAAGGCATGCTCAGCACACGCTCTCTACACAGATCCTCCTCACTGCTCACTCAGGAGAACACGTGAAAACGATACAAATATTTCAAACTTATCAGGCATGTCCATCAGTGCTTCTGTATTTTCAGGAACACATCGGAGGAAAAAAAAAACTGAGTATTCACCTGTATGTGCTAAGCTGTAATATTATGTAAGCCCAAAATGCCATTATTTGCTTTTCCTTAAATGAAATTAGCCCAAAGAGATCCAATTCTCTTATAGGGCAAACCATTTCAAACACTGCATTGTGATACATTTGTACAGTTCATATGGACGAATACATATGTTTAATCAGGAATAAGCAAAATGTGAATCATGTGCTGAAACTACTGAATCACACTGTTAATCCAGGCAGTTGCATTTCTCTTTTTTTTTTTTACGCCTACTGATGATAAACTGCAACGTAACGAGGTTTCGTAACGAGAGGCTTGGCACTCAAAGGAAAATGTCTTAACTCTGTTAGCCTAAGGAGGTGTGACAGGACAGACTACCACTGCGTCGTGGCACAGAAAGAATGCCACACCTTCTCTAGAATGGAGTCATGTGGCAGGACGAGCCGCAATCCGCCAGGTTTGGCGGGAACTCTGGTCGCAATGGCCGAGCTTATCTTGACCCAGCCCCTGTACACCACATTCATTCCCTTTTCTTCCTGCTCCTCCGTTGATAGAAACAGGTAGCCTTGAAGCCTAATTTTAGAGCAGTCATTGTTCAGACCAGTTTCCGACAGCTATATATAAAGGGCAATAAAACAATTAGGTTGGCATGCGTGACAGTTTAATGGCTGGCCTGATTCTTTTAAGACACTCCCTCACGCTGGCTGGCTCATTCATCAGTGTGAGCAGAAACACTTTGCATGCTGGGAGGTATTTCCTACCGAGCAACGATCGCTCTACTTTTAACTTTTTCAAAGTCCAAATGGACGAATGTGCTATATATACACACACACACTCGGCATTGATACTGTACTTTGTATGGAAAAGGTTGTACACAGCACTTTACCACACCAATTTCATTATTCATTTTTACAGTACATCAAATATTTATGATTGGTGAAATGGGTAAGGAGCAATTATCTCTTTTTGAACATACGGCAGATGTACATTTGATAAATCATGCAGCACACAATCCGCACACAAGCCTGAAAACAAACTACATTCAGTATTTTTATAATCCTCTTAATTTACTACTATTCATTAATTATCCAATGGCCAAACAAAACAAAGTACAATATTGTCTATTAATAGATATTTTAAGATTCACAAGCCTAACCCCTTGGTTTGTATCGGTCAATGGCATCCCTTTTTCTGTATGCTGTTTCACAGGTTTCAGTGTTTCCTCGTGAGATCTGAGACCACATCAGGTGACATCGTTAGGGGGACCCACTTGTTTATACAGTACGTGCTGACGTCCATTTACTGAAGAGTCATAAGTGCTGCAGCTGGCCTAATTTATACTATTTTTATGCACTCTATTTGGCCAGTGACTAAGCTCCTAAAAAAACGAGGAAAAAAAAAGAAAACAGATGCAGCCCAGATCGACATGACTTTACCACTCGACACTGATTCATCCCCCTGGTCAGTCCTTCTTAGCGGAGCTCTGGTACATGAATGACATCTGGCTGCTGTCACAGTGCTGGAAACTAGGTGATTCATCCTTGTTGGCAAGACGCAACAGGGTGATGGACCAAGACATGTGTCTGCTACTCTACTAGCCAGCCAATTGCAGAACACCACGAGCCACCATGGTGCAAAAGCAACTTATTTGAACATTAATAATTAATCTCACTGAAGCTTTTATCCAAAGCAACGTACATTAGTACACATTGATACAGCTGAGCACGTTGCTGGAGCAATGCAAGCGAAGTATCTTGATCAGGAGTACGAAACCAGTGCTTCACCTGGGTATTGAACCCACTACCTTCCTGTTACTGGTCCAGAGACCCCAGACCACTCCCCCCCTGCTACTGTTGCAGCTGCACTGGACCTTGAGATATTTTTCCTTTGAAGAACTGATTCAGTGCCCTTTCCTGCAACTCACTTCTCAGACCACGGTCATTCAAAAACAGTTCATGTTTGGCAAGTTTCCGGAAAAAAAAAACCCTACACACAGCGTTGACAGCTAGGCAGGCCAACTGAGAAACTTCCGCGTTCAGACGGAGGAGACTCTTCACGAGAAAGGGATAAATACCAGAGAAACCTGGTGGTACGTCTTCCAAATATTGACACCCTTTCTTTTTGTGAAGCGATTCAAGATAAGGGTAAACTGCACTGTAAAACGTTTCATTCATGATGTCACTTGTCATGTACCACTTTGTGTTTGGAGCAGAAATTACACACAAAAGTATAAATCATGAATGAAAGTCAGCTGAACACCCATGACAATTTATGCCAGTCCCTCGCGTGCTGCTTTGCATAATTTGTACTTTTAACTGAAATAATTTACTGCAGCTATAAGGTTTTTTTTAGCCTCCCCCACACACTCCCCTACCCCAACAGTTTCCAAGTTTTAGTCAGTTATCGGGAATCTGCAAACAATTTTACAATTTTAACATGCAACAGATGATATCCATTAGTAGCCAATGCCCTTTTTTTACTTACTCAGTCTGGGTGAAAGGAGTATTTCCTGATGGCTGAGTGCTGCTTGCTGTGAGAGGCAAGCAGTTCCCTCTTCCCCTGCCACACATATCAGAATTACACTTTTCCCTTTCTCTCAGGAGCAGAGCCATTCATTTGAGACCCGGTCTCAGGAGAAGGATATAACTGCTGACAGCGTTTCAATTTTCTGCTGTAAAACAAATAAATAAAAAAAATCAGTCCACACAACTTTCTGGCAGAGGCTTTTAGCTGCATTCTTCTTAGTTTAATCAGTAAACAGCCTTAAAGTGACAGTTACTATACCAGCTCTGTGCTCCGGCGCTCATTAATCCAACAAAACCAAGGTGATTACGAAGCTGAATTCATTTCCTGCTGTGCTGGTAGTGGCCAAGCCTGCTGATAGCGCTGTTATCACATGTCACTGAGTGGGGATCGTCTCGCCCGGCGGTTCTGACTGAGCTACGAGAACTAAGAGCTGTAGGCAAGTCACACATGGGAGGCAGATACCAGGAGTTCTTATAGAGGACCGCCAAGGGGCTGACCGGTTCCACAGCAGCCTATCACAGGAGAAGGCAGTGTCCTGTTACAGACTTCTGAATTGAGAGGTTAGAGAAAGGACATCCATTCAAAAAAAAAGAGAAAAAATGAGCAGCACTCATGAAAACGCCTAGGCTGTGCCTTCAGTCTTTAAAAGCAGGAAACTCCCCTGCCTAAGACTGAAGAATCGACTGCGACTCTAAATAAGGGAATTGTCTGGTACGTTCAGAGACGGTCCCCCACACTGAGAATGTATCCTGAAGAGAGATTCCAATTTCCAACAATGCAACTCTATTTTCTGTGTGTGTCAACATATAGATCCACACACTGGTATGCTCCGTCCCATTTATTCTTAAAAGAATAAGTTATTTTCGACTAATTTCACATTTGTGGAAAAAAAAACTGAGATGAAATAAGCTCCGAAATCGTTTTGCCAAATCAGAGAAACAGACGTGTCTCTTGCCAATTCAGACTTTTCTTTAAACCATTTGACATCGTTTGGAGTTTGCAGTAAAAGGAACTACAGTTTACTGTACGTGTATGAATGCACATGTACAGTATGAATGGCTGGAATAATGCCCGATCCATTCATGGATCAAGTTAAATAAAATTACTTCATATACAGATGGTAAACTGAAAGGTTAAGTCACAATTTCAGAAAAATCCTCTTTTTTACAAAAATTCTATGTTTCTCTTTTAAACTGGGATTTTTCAACCAGAATAACATTGAAACATTTCTAATAAATTCTAATCTTAAATGGAAAAAAAAAGAAATATTACTCATTCATAAAAAATCATTGACCCTCTTTTTTTAAGTGGAATATATGGAATTTTTAGTTAAAAAGTAAAGACAATAATTGAAGCTGAATAGTTATAAAATCATATTTTCATAGATCCATGTATACCTATGTAATGCATTTAAAAAAAACACAAGCAAAAAATCCTACTCTTATATCCTATAATCCTGATCTTTTTCATCCCTGTAAACAATAGTATAATGGCTTGATTTTATCATCTGTATTGACATCTTCTCCTTTATTTATAAATATTACAAGAAAACAAGCTAATTATTTCATACAAATAAAACTAAATTCTGTACTTAAATACAGAAAATTAAACATGGCAAATTAACCGATGAGGTGGAGGCTTGAAAGTCTAAAGTAATCGTTATTTTATAACCTGAGGAGAAAGCCCTTTTGTTAGCAGATAGTTCTATTTAAATTCAATTTTTAAAAACAACTGCCTAGGTAAGAGTGTGATACCACCTTCATTAACCCATGAAAACCTACATTTAATATAAAAAAGAAGTTTCTATAAAAAAGGCAAATCATCAATTATGGAATTCCCCTGTTCCATCAGACCAATGTTGCAATATTAATGCAACAAATCCACAGGCATAGTTAGATGTAACCAATGCCTTACTGTTTTGTCTGTATAGTTAATTGACACTTCTGTGTCTTGGAAAAAGTACCTTATTTCACATCTTGTCTCAGTAATCTGACACCCATATATAATTTTCAGGACCTTTAAACCTTAAGCTTCACCTGTTTTTGTTTCAGCAGCTACCAGTCCAAAAGACCGAAACTTCTCTTGCGTGACTAATCCTAAAAGTGTGTAACTTTAAGAGCAAACTGACTCATCACGAACATACCATTTACAAAGCAACTAAACTTTAATATAACTATTGGTGTTTGTTCTTCAGTCTCGTTCTATAGCTTTCAGTAACACAGTTCTTTTACTTGTCTGCATTTGAATAAGAGAGACACCCGACAGACAGAAAACCGCATGCTATATTTTCAAAATTTTCAAATGTGAAAAATCAAATGATACAGACTAGTAGATCTCTGAAAGGAGAGGGAACTTCTGATGCATACATGTGCTTTCTAATGATTCACCCATTTTTCCTAAATAATCTGCATTTTCCTTGAGTAATTCTATATAAAAAATTACAGAATATGTTCTTTCCTGTGAAACGTAAATCACTAAGCAAAATAGATTTTATCGAATATAAAATATGACTTCTAAATTTCTCTCAAGCTGCTGCATAAGGTAAATGTCACAAGCAAAATTTCAGGCATATGCAACATTTTGAAGTTGTATTACAATACTTAATTATTTTCTACTTCTAAATAAAATAATACTACAGTTTTTTAATGCTGATGTTTAAGTTTTTTAATAACTTTACATTTAATTGTGAGTGTTCTATACATATAGAACATAAAAATCCTGATGAATCTTAAAAATCCAGGTTCTTCTTCATCTTAAAAAATGGGTACAAATTTATTTTTTTATCCAATTTATTGTCTTAATCACTGAAAGTTTTAGTATGATAGTATTTTCTGTTGGGATTAATACCATGCATAATTCTTTCTAGAAATAAAGAATAACTGTTCTTCAAAATCGAAACATTTATGGGAAAGTATAAAAACAAGTAGGAAACTAAGGACTTTATCAATCTTTTCTTCTATATAATCCATTTTTTCCATGTTTTTCCCATCTACAAATGTAAGTTGTTTATACAGGTCACCAGACTATAAATGAAAAGAATTAAACATTTTAAAAAAATAAATATAAAAAATAAGAAATATGATACAGAAAAGTCACCAGAATACATAGACTATTAGTAACACAGGGGGACATATCTACCAGTACCTAATTATGTTCCTATAGAATATTGCAGATATTCAATTTAGAAAATACTGTATATGAATTTTAAAAAGTCTTCAAAAAATCATGTCTGCCTCATATACCATAAATTTAATGATTACTGTCATTTTCTACCATCTAGATCAAGTCACTGGACAGAGTAAATTACAGTATTGTACCAGACATGCTTTATATACTTTTGTTACATTATAAGATCATGTTTGCTGGCTATTGTAGTAACATTATTTATATTATAATAAATAATATTATAGTTTTTTTTTTTTACAAACATACCCTTTAGTTCAGAAAACATGTTTTCACCTTGCTTTAAAACTTCTGTTCACAAATCGGTGATGAGTCCTTCTAACCGATTCTGAATCAGAGTGATTACTTCCAGGGTGGCTGTGGTTCCTTCCCCAGGTAAGATGGATGCCGATTTGATGCCACACAATCCACAATAGCCCAGTCCTCAGCCGTTAAAAAAAAAAATATATATATATCCCTCTCCCTTCCCAGTCTTCAGCTGTAGTAACTTGTAAAAGAAGCTGGTTTGGTTTGGGTAATGGTTTATATATCATTATTTCATTACAGATTGACATATAAAACAAAAGGGTGGAGGTGGGCGAAAAGGATAGGAGATGAATCATATTTTAATGTGTCACTGCAGCTCTGAGGTTTTGAAATAAATTAGAATTCTTATTTTTCTTTTTTTAAGTGGGAGATAAGTAGGGAAAGATAGCATAGAATGCCAATGAGTCAGGTTAATTACTCTGTAACCAAGGAACAAACTAGAATATTATTATACAAGAATTGTCATTAAATACTTAAGGCAGTTCAGCCTTTTTTTTTCAGGTGGTAGTCCGAAAACCTGACAAGGCTTTAAAAAATACATTTCTTACATCTTAAGAGTCCTGTGTTGTATTTTGAATGGGGCTACGTAAATAAAGAAACAGGCTTTTACCTGATTTATGATCAAATTAATCTAGTGCTTAAAATAGTTATGATTATTTTCAGCATTGCTTGTCTTTAATTTACTCTGCTCATTGAAAGTTAACAGACTAGTACTTTTAAGGAAATGGGCTTGAGAGACACAATGGTAATGGTAAACTTGCGAAGTATTTTCCCCAATTCATATATATATCACTCTTTTCTGTTTTTATAAGGATTATATATAGCAATTTAAAACTTCACTGCCCAAGTTATGGTTTAGTTTATAGATAACCTTTAGTAATTCACCGCTGAAAGAAAAGGTAAAGAATCCTGAAAATGAGTTGCTTGCATGTTATGTTATAGTGAAGTATTTTTAAAAAATGAGATCTTTATAAAATAAAACACAAATCTCCCTTACATAAAAACAAAAAAGGTGGGAACCAATATCGACAGCACTTCAGTGGTGAAGGAGGCCATCAATTGATGGATATACTGTACGTCATAGACAGAAAGCTAATAATTTGTTACAAAACTGCTTTCTTTTCTAAATTCATTTAGAATTTAGTAAATTGTAAATGAATTTACTAAATTCATTTAGAATTTAGAATTCTAAATTCTTCATTTAGAATTTAGTCTTAATTTTTTTACTTTTGCTGCTCTAAAAAAGGAGACAAAAACAAAGCAGTCAATAAGTGGAAAATTAACAGTTCTCTTTACCCAACTCAAATGGATTTTACAATAACACCTGAATCTACCTGTCTTACAACAGTGCCCTCTGCTATATACTGTATGGCAGCCTATTTGAAGGTCTTTGTGCTCAAGAAACTGAGCACATGACTTGGCTGAGGTGTTTTTTACGTTTTGGGACAGAACTGATACTAGTATGTGAGTACCCCAGCAAAAGTACTTGAGTTCCCATGGAGAGAAATTGAATTCCATGGATTCTTTGTACTTGAAAGGTGTAACAGAAGGCTACCAGATGCCAACTGAAATGTTGGCAAATTTAGACCGGTTTTTAAGTCAGAAGCTGACAGCAACATTAAGGCAGGGCTGATCTGAGTGTTGCTATGTACCCTCACGTACGGGTCAAATAAAATTTTACAGGAAGCAGCACATTTACACAATGTTAATTTCAAAAAGCAAAATAATCGAAACTCAAAAAAAAAATGAAGAAAATGTAGGTACAGTAGGGCTAGGTATCATATTCAACCACATGTTTAGCTTGTTAATGCCATCTTGTGTGCAGCGGAGTCATGTTGTTAATGAAATCACGAGAAAGCAGAAATGCAACAGGTGTTTACTTCATGAGCA